TGTAATTCTCTTGACCCCAATAATAGATCCACACCAGAAATTAATTTGCCCTGAGACCTACAACAGGTATAGGATATCTATGCGACTCCCACTTTCTCAGTAGGAAATCATGGACTTACAACTGTAATGCAAGGCACCTTAGAACAGTGGTCCCCAACCATTTGGGGTTGCCGGGCGCCAGGAGGCATGGCCGTTCGCCCGCCGGGCGCCCGGGGGGGCGGGGCCCCCTCATAAGTGGTCCCCAACCATTTGGGGTTGCCGGGCGCCAGGGGGCGTGGCCAGGGGGCGTGTGCTCTCTCCCCAAGCGCAGCGCACCCGGGGCCGGCGCTAGTGCTTTCTCCCCCCCCCATGCACCGCGGGGGGTGAATCCACGGCGCCCCCGGGGCCGGCTCCGGCACCGCGCATGCGCCACGTGCCCGGGGCCAGGCCAGCCCTGAGCACTTGGCGGGCGCCGAGAAATGCCCCCGCGGGCGCCATGGCGCCTGCGGGCACCGTGTTGGGGACCACGGCCTTAGAAAGTAAGTGGATACAAATCATTCTGTTGAAAAACAAAAGTTGTGAGCTTAAGTACATTCTGGAATTGCATTAAACACAGACACTCAAATTTGAACTCCTGTCATTATGGGCAAGAAAGGGGAAACAAGGCACATCACTATTACATGTCATATAAAGAAATGTATTTTTGATGGCATGTTTCCTTCAGTAGGAATACGTGGCTATGGAAACATTTGCAAAACTCAGCAGTTTTGTTTCAAGAAATTAATGCAACATTTTAGTTAGTTTCTGTCCAGGTAGGTTTATATAGATGAGTCTCAGATCTTGGACCACGCTCTTAGAAGAGCGAAAATCTCAAAATTTTGAAACTGTTGTTGACTTTCACATATTTTTGTGTTATGACTGCAGTTTTGCATGACTTTGTAAAACCATAACTGGTCTCGGGTTTCTCAAAAGTGAGTTCAGATATTCAGGAAAATAATTATGGCACATACAGTTTTGCCCAAAATGGAAACACATTGAAGAACACAGGTTCTATATTTAGAAAAAAACTTGAAACCTTTGAGAGTCCTGTTCCAGTTAGCTTTGTTACAGTCTGAGTCGTGGGAGGCTGAATAGTTTGTTTGTTTTTAGTTTATATTACTCTCCTAGTAATCATAAAGCAAGATGAGAATCACTTTAAAAACAAGAACATTCACTTTCACGTAGCACAGATCCTGACTGTTTAAGATGTATCTGTCCTGATAGAAATTTCCTGCTCTGCAGGATGAAATCTGTTATATAAAACTGAGGATCTCTTAAAACACTACTCCCTTCATGTTGAACAGAAGAAATTTTAAAAGCCCGAGAGTGTACTTAGAAATAGTTTTCCCTTTAGAAACAATAAAATGTACGAAAGAAAATTATACAATGAAACTTAAAAAAAAAAGCAGAAGAAATGATAGGGGTCTCACATTTTGTGAATAATTTAAGAGATATGAGATGAGGCATGAGTTTGTACGAAAACTAGAATCCAGGCAAGTGTCAGTTGGTTTCAGGATTTACTGTCCAGATTTTGCATCACTTTATTGCAAAAAATTTGGGCCAAATCTAAGTGATTGATGCTGGAGCAAGAGTACAAGCAAGCCAGCCAAACTCACAGGCAAGGTTGGAAAATCCTTCTCGCTTTCCATTCTTAGTTTCAGCTTCTGGATTTTCAAATTACTGATACAATTTACAGACTGTCCTCTGAAATTTCTTTAGCATTAACATGCTTAGTAGAGGAATATGTTTTCATAAGTCCTTGAGGAAATCAAAGGTGAGCGAGAAAGGCTGTTTCAGAGTATTTTTATGGATTTTATGATAACTAGCAATTAGAAAGTTTGGGCAATATGCAGAGGTAAAAGTAAGTAGGTGTGCCCAGTTCCAGCAAGAACTGACTGAGCTGCAGGAAAAGCCAGCAGGGAGCTATTTAAAGAGTTTTCAGGGCCCCGGATTGCAATAGGACAGTACCTGTGAGCAATTGTTAGTTACTTTCATCCCTGGCAATATGTACTTGATTCATACCTATTACCATCTATTACTATAGGTTAAGACCAAGTCAGTTAAGTTTTAGTCTGTTGATAATCACCCTTATTTGGCCATAATTATTCTCATGGAGCAAATATTATGTGTCTTATGAATGCATGAAAGACTGTACCAGATCATTCAGTCTCACCTTTGTGTATCAGATCAAGTCTCCTTTAAAATGCACATGTTTATCCAACAGATCATGATGGTTCTCACAGAGAGACTGATGGTTTAATTTATTGTCAGTCAGACCACCACTCATAAAAATGAATGGGCATGTACTGAATGGGTACATAGCTCTCAATCATCAACGAGTCTACTGCATGGCAACAGACAGAAACACCTAACTTAGCATAGCCTCTAATTTCTATTTTTTTGAGGGAGGTAAGCATTCTTTATAGAACCTGCTGGATTATTTTTTGTTGTCCTTCAGCTGATATTTTATTAGCATACCATTAGATATCTATATCTAGCAGTACAAGCTATCACTGTGATAATATTTGACCAAACTGATCCTTCCTGTGCCCCCCTTCCCTTCTCCTATTTATTTCGAGTTTCCTTAACCTCTAATCATAACTCCGGTCATCTGAAGAAGTGGACTGTGCCTACAAAAGCTCATGGTACCATCAATATGTTTTGTTAGTATATAAAGGGCTAACAGACCATTTGCTTGCTGTTTTTTTTTCTGTAACAGACTAACTCGGCTACCCCCTGAAGTTCCTCAAAATCAGTGCTCTTCTATGAGGGATCAGTCTGGCCAAACTATCTGCTTTCGGAGTTTATATTGCAAGGTGATATAATTCACAGGCTTTGTATGTATTAAATAGTGAGTGATGATGCTCTCTAGTGGCTGCAGCTACCGCTATCAATGTTATAAAACTTCTTTAGCACAAGTAGTAGCAGCCTTTGGAGCCAAAGGACCATGGTTTCTAGTCCTATGTATGTCTCACCTGGCTCTGGGAATTTTTGGATTTAAAATAAGATACTGTTCAAAATGAGCAAGGAGGGATGAAGCTGATATACTGTAATCACATCTGTTGTGTGAAATATGCAGCTCCTGTACAATGGGAACAACAAATCATATAGCATGTGTCCATATTTTAAATTTTTAACTACAACCTTTTTACCATAAACGTCCCCTCTGATGGCAGATTTAGAAAACAGAAATTCAGTAAAAGCAAATGCTTGCCTACCTGCGAATCTATATCACTATTAAAATAATTTAATATTCACGCAGTACTTTTTATGTAGAGATCCAAAATGCTGATCTATACATACGAGGGGACTGTGCCGTCTGCTCACTAGGCTCGCCTACCCCCCTCTCTCTAGATGCTTTCGCTTTGCTGAGAGAGCATGTTGACACTGATGATGTTATTCTGTCGCCTGGTAGGAATATTCTGTCTCTTTAAAAAAAAAAAAAAAAGTTTTTCCTGCCAGAGAGAGAGAAAATCACTTATAAACTATGATTTATATATTAGAGAGAGAGAGAGAGAGAGAGAGAGACTGCATCCCCTACTGCTGAAATGCTGCCTTCTTTAGCACGGAAGGTTTCCACACAGCAAATCTACAACATAACTCTATAGCCAGCTGAAGCTACATTGCAAATTTTATGTAAGCAGAATGTAATTACCCAAGTTAACATATGCTCGGGTTATGCTAAATGGGGAAAAAAAGAGCTATTTTATCTAACTGAAACAGTTGAGTAGTTAAGGCAGAAGGCTGTTCCACGCTGCATTGCAAACTAGTTTGATCTTGGTCAAATTATTCAGGGCCTGTCTACAATACACATTTTACTATTTCACTGTATTTCTGGCAAGGATATTTTTGTTCTAACCCTTTATTCTGTCCATAGTGTGAATGCAGGAATACTAATATAGCATTATGCTACTGTCTGAATCATTGTATCCTGGCTTAGGCTGTCACATAGAGCTATAAACATGTCCTTCAAAAAAAATGCCAACAAAATACCCCTGACAATATACTGGGATGGTTAGACTTGTATCATAAATGAATCCACAAGCTCTGTGCCTCAGTGTTTCCACCTGAAACACCCCCCCCGCTGCCCCAGAAATACTAATGCATACCTCACCAGCACATTAGGAAGCTAAATTAATGTTTGCAATCTTAGGAGGAATAGGACTACAGAAGAGCAACATGTTATTTTACGTCCTCTAAGAAAAATTAATCATGATTATAGACATATCACCCTCCTTACCACCTGACCAATATTCGTGCTTACATTTTTTCTTTCCAATCTCAAATCTTATTTCCATCTAACCCCTTCTTTCAGTCTGAAAGTTTGCATATCATGTTTCAACATACCTGTATAATAAAGAATAACCACACATAACATTGAAAATAAACTATTTAAAAGCAAATTCATTGCCCTTTTCCCTGGCAAGCTCTCTCCCCAAACTCCTGATTTGGGGCTTGCCCACGTTGCAACTTTGTGTGCAGGGATTTCTTGTAATAGCTACCAGATGGTGGAACAATTCCATTATTCTTTTCACATGTCAGCAACTGGATCAAAGAGGGAATCTGCAGAGATCAAATTTCCTTGCCTGGCTTTTTCTAGCTCTCTACCTTGTTTGCAACAGAGGCTGCTCAAGAAGGAAACTCCTTTTTAGGTCTCCTAAATTAACTTTTTTGGGTTGCTCAACAATCATGTGCTGTGGTCCTGCAGTTATCACATGTCCTTATTGCAGTAGGATTTGCTAGTGAATCCCCCTGGTCTGCAAATCCCAGACTCACTTTTTCTCAGAACAGCTAGTGATCACTCATTCACACACACTGGCTTTTGGACATACACATGCAGCTGCTTGCATCAACTATGTCTAACAAATACAAACAGACAAAAGGTCTTTGCGAACCGAAACAATACATATAGATCTAGATTACCAGTTCTTTGAGAAAGAAGAATATTCAGGAACAAACATATGGTTTATGCTCTTGCCTACCTGTTAGAGATCACAAAGCTGCTTTCACACTTCCTGCCTTTCTCTCTCTGCAACAGCTGTGCTTTCTGAAACTGAGCAACAATCTGCTTAAGTGTTGTGGTCTGAAAATACACCCCCCCTTCCCGGCTCACCTCCATGCAGCCTTGCAGTGCCAGACAACCCCTGCTCCTTCTGATTCAGCCAGTCGAAAACAAGTTACAATTCACTGGCCAGCTCACATGTGAAAGGGAGATAGAGAGTTCAGAACAATCAATCCAATTAACAGTCCTGAAACCTGCACCAAGGCATTTATGTGATAATAAAAGGTTACATTTTATTTGGCACCTCTTCCTCCTCCCCCTTACATGTTACCTATAAATAGATTTTCAGCAGACCCCTGCCAGTTTACAGAGGTACCAGCTGTTTTCTCTCTCTCTCTGCCTTCTGTCTTAGATAGTCACAGAAAAGTACTAATGGTTTTAGATTAGGGACTAGTAAGAATATGATTGCTTCTTACCTCCACAAGGCAATGATTCCTAGCTCCTTGTTGAGGTTTCCAGTGAACCACTCATTTTGTTCAACAGCGGAGGCAACCAGTTTTGAAGGCAGAGGTTGTATCAAAGGGAACAGAAAAGAACACACAAGTCCAGCTAGTGTCCTCCTACTCCCATTCGTCCTCTCCCCATCTAAGCTTTGACCCAGAAATCCACTGGGGCTGTTGCAGCAGTAGATGATTTCAGATGAAGTGCTATGGAAAACCTGTACTGTCTACTTTTTGTTTTAAACACTGTTTGTTAAGTTTTTTACCATGCAGCTTGTCTCCTTCTGCAGGGAATTACTCAGACAGCAAGTCATGTGACTCTGGGGCTGCACAATTATATAATTCAAACTGTGCTAAGGCTATTCAGGGTTTTGATTTTGAAATCACACCCATGAAGAGAAACAAACAAGAGCAGATGACATGGAAATCCATGTGCTCTCTGATCAGGAGCCTATATCTCTAAGCAAGCAAGTTTGTGTGTGTTTGTTGTTACCCAGGACATCTAGGAGGGCACCCCCTTAGTTCAACACCCCTCTGTAAGTCAGAAGGGAGTCCAGTAGTACACGGACTTCTTAAGGAGTAACCAACAGCTCTTTAGGAGGAAGGGCTCCAGGGATCAGAAGACATTTTCAAAATGTAACTTAGGAGTCTGTGTATGGGGGTGGGGGGAAGCAGGGGA